GAGAGGCCAACCAGTTGGAACAGAGAGGAGAAATTTCTTCACTCAAAAAGTCAGAAATTTTTGGAGTTCTCTACCTTGGAGACCTCAGACATGGAGTGACTGAGATCAATAAATATTTTGGGTGAAACAGGAATCAACTGAGAGGGAACGTGGGGTTGATGTAGAAGTTCAGTCACAATCTTATTAAATGGTGGTATATGTTCAAGGCGCTTGTGATCTCTAACTAAAGTTTGAGAACTGGGCGCGACTGTCATCTCGATAAATACTGTTAACTTCTCTACCAGCTGAGGACCCAGACAACACTAGAACAAAAACCTGCCTAAGATTCAGCACAAATCTCGGATCTCCGCAGAAAGGAGAAACAAAATTTTCAGAACCAAGCAAGCAGATTGGAGTCCAACTGACTTTGCTTGTGCATACTGTGAGGAAAACTACTTTCATCTCTACATTCATGGCAGACTTTAATCTGAGGACCTGACAGTGATTGATCTACTGCGGTTCCAACTGTAGTATTTCACAGGAACAATCAGATAGTACAGTTCCATCTCCCCAAGGAGGGTCATCCCCAAGTAGCTGCACACCCTTTTCCGTTTTGACTAAGCTTTGACTGTGACCCACATGCAAAACGGAATGACTTTTTAAAATTTGTGACATTCTTCTTATAATTCTTGTACGAGATGAGGGCGTTGCTGACTAGGCCTGAATTTCTTGCCCAATCCCTAACCGTCCTTGAACTGAGTGGCCTGCTAGGATCATTTCAGAGGATAGTTAAGAGTCAAACACATCGCTGTGCATCTGGAGTCACGTGAATGGGTAAGAATGGCAGACTTCCTTTCCTGAAGAGAGTTAGTGATCACATGGACTTTGACAACAATTGTTTCTCAGTTGCCATTAGATCAGCATTTTAACTCCATATTTTTACTGAATTGAAATTTTACCATCTGCTCTGGTGAGATTCAAAGCCACGTGCCCAGAACGTTAGTCTGGATTACTCATCCAGTGACATTACCATTACCATTACCCCACCATCCTCTCCTTTGGAGTAACCCTGGCACAGCAGGCATTTTTTCCCACCCCTAGTGGTTGTTGAGAAGGTGGCAGTGAAATGCCTTCTTAAGCAGCTGAAGTCCTTATGGTATCACAGTGTTGTTCGGGCGACCAAATGGATTTTGACCCAAAGTCAATGAAGGAACAACAATGTAATTCCAAGTCAGGATGATGTATGACTTGGCAGGAAACTTGCCAGTGGTGGGGTTCCCATGTGCCTGTTGCCCTTGACTTATGGGTGGTAGCGGTCCTGGGTTTGGAAGGTGCTGTTAAAGGATACATGGTAAGTGACTGCATTTCATCATGTAGAGAGTACATACTACTGCCGCTGTGCATCAGTGAATGTTGAAGGTGGTGAATGGAGTGTCAATCAAGCAGACTACTTTGTCCTGGATAGTGCTGAGCTTCTTGAGCACTCATCCAGGCAAGTGGAGAGCCTTCCATCACACTCCTGACTTGTGCCATGTAGATGGTGGACAGGCTTTGGGGAGTCAGAAGGTGAGTTACTCACCACAGAATTCCTATCCTCTGACCTACTCTTGTGACCACTGTATTTATACAGCTGGTCCAGTTCAGTTTCTGCTTAATGATAACACCCAGGATGTTGATAGTGGGGTTTCAGCAATGGCAGCGGTCTTGCGATATGCAGGCACAGACTGTTTCATTATCTGGAAGTATAGCATCCAGATCCTATAGCAATAGAACTATAGCTCTACAATGGTAATTGGTCAGGTTGGATTTTTTTTCTTTAGAATCTATTACACATCCCTTTCTTGAACTAAATGAGTATGTTGCTTCTGTTTTTACCACATTAGAAAATGTTGACAATGGCCCAATTCAATATGTGGTTATTGAGCATCTGAGCAATATAGTGACAAATAAAGTTGTGCAGCACACCAGGTACAGAAGTGGCCAGGCCTAGACGTGGTCTGGATTGCTGAGAGAGGTAAAGGAGCAAATTGTGGAGCATTGACCGAAATTTTCCAGGCCCCTCTGAACACAGGATTAGTTCCATGGGGCTGGAGGATTGTGATGCTGTGGTTTAAGAAAGGGGCAAAGGACAACACAGGAAACTACAAACCTATCAATTTGATGTCAGTGGGTAAACTGATGGAGGACATAGTACAGGATAACGTAAATATACACTTATAGAGAAAAATAAGCGAATACTAGACAATCAACATAGCTTTGACAAGGGAAGATCAAGTCTGTCAAATCTGATTTGACACAGGCAAGTGGAAGAGGGTAGTCCTATCGATGTTGATAATTCGGGGAGGCAATGGCATGTGGTATTATCACTAGACTATTAATCCAGAAACCCAGTTATTGTCTGGGGACCTGGGTTTGTGAAACCCAGGCAGGCGGTGGAATTTGAATTCAATAGGGGACAAAAAAAAAAGTCTGGAATTAAGAATCTACTGATAACCATGAAACCATTGCTGATTGTTGGAAAAACCCATCTGGCTGACTAATGTCCTTCAAGGAAGCAAACTCTCATCTAGTCTGGCCTACACGTGACTCCAGATCCACACAGCAAAGTGGCAGGCTCTCAACTGCAGTTAGGGACGGACACTGAACGCTGTCCTAGCCAGTAAGGCCCACATCATGCGAATGAAAAATAAAATTTCATTTCAGAAAGGATTTGATGTGGTGCCACATGGCAGGTTGGTCAGCAAATTAGAAATGTTTAGGATTGATAGGTTCTTGGCAGCATAGATCAGAAGTTGGTTGAAAGATAGGAAACAGATGGTAGGTATAGATGGGCATTTCTCAAATTGAAAACTTGTTGAAAGTGATGTTCCCCAGGAATCAGTGTTAGGACTTTGCTTTTTCTGATTTATATAAATGATTAAGATGGGTGTTGAAGGAAAAATCTCTAAATATGTAGCTCTCTAAGCCAGGAAAAATACTGAATTGTGAGGATGATGTTGAGTGACTTCAGAGGGACATCGGCAAGTTTGGCCAACACCTGGCAGATGAATTTTAATGCAGAGAAATGTGAGATAATTCATTTTGGTAGAAGAAACATGGAGAGACAATACAGGCTCAATGGTACAATTTTGAGGGGAGTACAGGAGCAAAGCAACCGTGGGGTTCACATGCCTAATTCTCTGAACGTTGGCCAGGAAAGATTAAACAGTTGTCAAGAAGACTTATGGGTACCTTGAGTTTATAAATAGAAGCACAGAGTGAAAAACAAGAAAGTGATGCTACACCTCTAAAAAATCACTTGGTCAGACCACATTTGGATATTGTGTTCAGTTCTGGGCACCTTGTTTAAAGAAGGATGTTAAAGCCCTGGAAAAAGCTTATGTTCCTTGGGGCAGAGAAGATTGAGAGTTGACCTTATTGCAGTATTCAAAATTATGAGCAATTTTGACAGGGTAAAGAAGGTTATTCTGTTTCTGCTAATTTGTGTGTCAATAGCTGGGGATTGCAATTTCAAGACTGTCAGCAGGAGATCTCGGAGTGAGATGAGGAGAAACTATTTTTACCTCAGAGAGTTGTTAGGATTTAGAATGCGCTGCCTGGGACATTGATGGAGAGGGAAACCATAGGAGGTTTCAAAGGAGAATTGGACATACATTTAAAATTGACAAACTGAGAGGGCAACGGAGATAGGGCTGGAGAGTGGGACTAGCTGGATAGCTCTTTGAGTGCCAGTTCAGACACAGTGGGTCGAATGGCTTCCTTCTGTACTGTAAAATTCTGTAATTCCACACTTAGTAGCTTGTTAGGCCATTTCAGAGGGCAGTTAAGAGTCAACCATATTGCTGTGGGTCTAGAGTCACATTTAAACCAGACAAGGGAAGAATAACACATTCCCTTCCCTTAAGGATCCAGATTGTTTTTTACAACAATCAGCAGCAATCACCATTAGACTAAGTTTTAATTCAGATTTTTTTTTATTGAATCCATGGATGGATTCAAACCCATGACCCAGAACAGCGAGCGCTCTGGATTACTCATTCTGTGTCATTGCCACTATGCCATTGAGTGCCCTGCCTTTGGGCACAGGACATACCTGGGCAAATTTCAACATTGTTGGGCAGATGTCAGTGTTGTAGCTGCACTGAAATAGCTTGGCGAGGGGCACAGCTGATTCTGGAACACAAATAGTCAGGAATGCTTTCTGCGGTATCCGGCACCTTCAGCTGCTTTTTGGATATCAGACAGAGTGAACTAAGTTGGCTGAAGCCTAGCAGCTGCAATACCTCAGGTAGCTGCCAAGATGAATCAACTGCATTCTGGCTGAAGTCAGATGAAGCTACTTCACCCCTACCTTTTGTAAATAATGTGCTGGGCTCTCCATCATGGAGGACAGATATATTTGTGGTGCCACCTTCAGTTGGTTTTTAAAACCACAGAAGTTAGGAGCAGGATTAAGCCATTCCATAATTGGCTTCTGCAACTGATAGAATCCCCACAGTGTGGAAGCAGGCCATTTGGCCCATTGAGTCCAAACTGACCCTCCAAAGAGTACCCCACTCAGACCCCCATCCCACCCCCCCAACTCTATCCCCGTAATCCTGCATTTTCCATGGCTAGTCCACCTAGCCTGTATGTCCTTGAACACTATGGGCAGTTTAGCACGGCCAATCCACCTAACCTGCACATCTTTGGACATTGGGAGGAAACCGGAGCACCCGGAGGAAACCCACACAGACACAGGGAGAATGTGCAAACTCCAAACAGACCGTTGCCCGAGGGTGAAATTGAACCCGGGTGCCTGGCGCTGTGAGGCAGCAGTGCTAACCAATGAACCATCATTCCACCCCCTATTCAATATAAATACATTCAATACGATTACAGCTGATCCTCTATCTCAATGCCATATTTTCCCCCTTTCTCCCCATACCCATTGATGCCTTTAAAATCTAAACAATGTATATATATCTCTTTCTTGAATATATTCAGTTAATTAGCCTCCGCAGAGAATTCCAAAGTTCCATTGTACTCTTGAGTGAAGAAAATTTTTCCTCATCTCAGTCCTAGTCGCCCAGTCCCCAGAATGTAATGTAAAAGGGGCAGCTGGAGTATCCTTAAACAGTGTGACTGCAGAACATCAATTACTGGTTCATGGAAACAGTTATTTTTTTCTGCTCACCAATTAAAGCCACACCACCTTAAGGAAACTGTTGTGGAGTGAACCGGGAATAATCCAACCCTGCAACTCTGTAAAATGACAGCTAATGCCATTTAACCTCCCAGATAAAAACTGCTTTCACAACCTCTGCGTCCTCAGCCAAGTGACCGAACCCACTGAAACACACGGATGTTCCTGAATACTGTCGACAAGTAATCCAAGTGAAGAGTTTGGATGGCTTCAAATGCAATGAATGAAAAGTTTGAATGATATACATAATCTTACCCCTGAGATTGGATTAATGCTTTAGATCCACCTGGAAGGTGGTGGATGTTATGCAATTCTGCGACCAAGGTGTTTTTTTTGTTTGCATGCACACGCTTTTCAAAAGACGTGGACACGGTTTTATATTTGATCACAATTTCTGTTTGTTTTGCAAATAGGACCCCAAGAAATAATGGATTTCATTCACAGGGTTAGTCTTTCTGAATTATGTGGCGCTTGAAGAGGAAAGAAAGCAAAGCAAAAAAAAACTCACTTTCCGAGATAGGTTGCGACAGTTGTGTGTGACAGAAACAAGAATTGCCCTCGATCCTCCTGACGGCAGGGTGGTGTAGTGAGGCTTCAGTCCAACAGGGATCATGCAGAGCGGGGAGATGCGATCGTCCCTCAAGTGTCCTCGTGTAACAGGAAGATTTTGACCGTGTCTGGAATAGGCAGAGTCTGGATCAGATGAAGACGGAACTTCCCCAGCGCTCTCCGAATAACTATTCGGCAGGAAGATGTCAGTGTCCTGGGAGTACCTGTTTGGAAAGCAAAATCCCTTTAAATGAGCATTAATGCCAGACTTCTCTACTGTCTACAGTCTCTGTTTTAAAAAAAAAACCAAAGCCCAAAGTCCTCAGAGGACCCAATAAATCAACTTTTGTTGGCCAAAATTCAGATTTGAATATTGTAAACTAGAATTTAGAGAATGTGTGAAAGCAGGAAATACTCCCTCATTTCTGCACTAAATCAAAACCTGAATGCGTTTTCTTTCCTGGGAGCTGAAACATTGCCACAACTCTCAAAGTGTTCCAGACCCACGCAAGTGTCAGGATTTGCTTTATTTGATTGTTTGGGAAATTGTCGCTCACAGCACAATTTTGCACACTTTCCAATCAAGATTGCCCATCAAGATATAATTTAAGGACCAATCCAAAAGAGTTCAAGGCTCAGAATTTATTTTTTACGGCACACTCTATACATGTTTACGTACTAATTACAATCATTTTCCCCACTCCTGAAGCTGAAAGAGAGTGAAAATTTAATTTTACTTCACGAAAACGATGAAAATTATTTGATCTTTCTTCTACTGCGGAGGATTGCAGTCATTCCTCTTTCCTTCCAAAATTCTTTGGAAGGACTTTTTTCATTACAACTGGGCAAAATATCTTAAAAATAAAGGGTTCCAGATGTTGTTAGAACTGTGATTTCTTTTGAAAGATTCCCACAGATGCAAGAAAGTCGCTACCCAAAACCTCGTGTTATAGCACTACACACCTTACCTGAAGATGGGGCAAATGCTACCAAATGTACAGCAATCAGTTGTAGCACTCGAGGTCAGAAAGTCAAAAATTACAAGCTCCACTTCAGAAATACTGCCACACAATCAAGGCTGGTATGTTCGTAGAAAACTGAGGGAGCCCTGCATTGTCAGATGATGCTGTCTTTTGGGTGAGAATTGAAACTTTAGGTTTTATCTGCCCTCTCTGCTGGGCATAACTAACTCCATGGGACAATGAAAAGAGCAGGAGAGTTCTCCTTCAGCATCCGAGTTTATCCCTCGGATAAAATCACCAATGACAATGACAGGTCATTATCATATTGCTGTTTGCAGACGACTTGCTGTACACATATTAGCTGTTTTATTTCCAACACTGCAACAGTGACTACACTGTTGTAGTAAGCACTAGCTGTAAAAGTACTTGGGAACATCCTGAGGTTATGAAAGGTGCTATATAAATGCAAGCCTTTTCTTCTTGGGAAGTCTCCAAATTACAGCTAGGTCACTTAGTCATAAACTAAAATAAATAAAATAAAACAGACAGGTTGGTGAAAACCTGGAGCTTTCTGTTCCAAAAGACTTTGGATGCTGAGTCAATTGAAATGTTCATGGCTCAGATAGGTGGGTTGATATCAGCGCAAGGAAAATGGAGATACAGGTCATACAGGTAAATGGGGATACACATCAACCAGGTAAATAGTTACAGCTCAGGGATTAACTGGAAGCGACATAGAAATGGCTGATGAAATCCAATAGTCCACTGGAAGGAAAAATATTCCACACTTTTTTTTATTCATTCATGAGATGTAGGCATTGCTGGGTGGACCAATATTTACTGCCCATCCCTAATTGCCCAGAGGGCAGTTAAAAGTCAACCACATTGCTGTGGGTCCCGAGTCACATGCAGACCAGACCAGGTAAGGATGGCAGATTTCCTTCCTGACAATTGGCAATGGTTTCATGGTCATCATTAGACTTTTCATTCCAGATTATTACTAAATTCAAATTCCACCATCTGCCATGGTGGGATTCAAACACAGGTCCCCAAAATGCTACCTGGGTCATTGGATTAACACCCTAGTGATAATACCATTAGGCCATCACCAACCCCAGTAGCTGGAGCAACTGGAAGATGGCTAGGAGTATTATTAGACTTCACATTCAGCTGGGTTCCTTTTTAAATTTTAACTTTTAGCAGAACATATTTCTGCCTATTTATAAATCTGCTTCATTGAGTCCAATTGAAAATTATGTCCAACTTGCCCAACTAATGTACAGTAGTCACCAAAGCCAACAATGTGTTGATCGCATCACTATCTGTGACAACAAATTATGGTCAAATGAACTAGGGTTTTCAGAAGATAGTTTAGAAATATTTTTGAGCAGGTAGCAGTCAAAAAGCACTGGGCTCAAAGATCATCTGTTCATTACACACACATTTCAAGGGGCTTTACTGCTCATGCAGGAATAAAATGGACAGCATCATCTGAAGGATACGTTTAGTTGTGCTGTCCAAAACCTTCTATCACTGTAATTGCTATGCTTCAAACTACAAGCTAGAGTGTCTTTGCTGAAAGGTTCAATTCCAGCAGTTTCAAACAAGACCTACATTTGGAAAAGGAAGAAAACTTTCCTAGAGTAAGACTGGATAGGTTTCATTGGTATATCTATCCTCAACTTGCAGTATTACCTAACACAGTTGTGACCATCTTTGACATGGAAGCAGTGCAATAAGAAAGACATAATGTCTTTAAAATGTTTGTGGAATCTGTAATCATTTTAAAAACATCTGAATGGAACTTTTCAGAGTTTCTATCTATTGTAAAGGGATCAATTGCAATTTTCTTGAATAAGAAGAACTACTGGTCAATATAATCTTGTGACCTCCATCTCAAAGCAGTACCAATAGGAAAGCTGTTAATACACGGAAGCTATAAGGTAGTCGCAAAGGAGAGCTGCAGCAGAAGGGAGAACAAAGAGCTGGGTGTGTCCTAAATAGTTAAGCAGGACACAAAGATATGTGGAATTAGAACAGAGATGAAGTGGCACATCTTTACTGCTTCAGAGACAGCAAGAACTGCAGATGCTGGAGTCAGGGATAACACAGTACGGAGCTGGAAGAACACAGCAGGCCAGGTAGCATCAGAGAAGCAGAAAAGTTGATGTTCATTTCTGAAGAAGGATCCTGACCCGAAACATCAACTTTCCTGCTCCTCTGATGCTGCCTGGCCTGCTATGTACTTCCAGCTCCGCACTGTGTTATCTTTACTGCTTCAGTTTTGATTAGTTGGCTCAATCTGTTTAACATTTAAAGGGTTCAGCCAAAGGGTTTTCTGAGGAATATGTGCCCTCTAACTGTCTAAGGAGGTTCTGCAGCCATATACAGTTCAAGTCACATGTTGATTCATAATGGTTATGTAAGATGCAGCTTTGTTGTATCAACTTTAAAAATGGGATTTAGCCTATGAACCCAGAGACTGAAATGGGTTCACCAAAATTTCCCAGCATTCTAACGAATTGCTTTGCTATGTTTTAATTGAGAAATCAGACATAATGGTTCCCTGACCAGCCCGGCTGAATCACTGCTGTAACTGTTTCCAAACAGTGTGAATGCTTGGCTTGCCAGCTCCAATGTGCTCCTCAGTATCTGGTATTCTGAGCTGCCAGCTGATCTTCAGACGCTTTAGAAGACAGCTCATGTGGAAGTGGCCTTGCCAAGACACAGGTACGACAGAGAGCGCAGGCTACTTGTGTAAAGCCTTACGGCTTGCAGCCCCGGGTGGATGGTCAAAATCAGCCAAAGGCCATATATGCTTTGGCAATTCTTACAAACATACATCTTGTCGTCAATAGAGATGGCTTGAAAAATTTTTCTGCCGATTGCCTGCCACCAATTGAGGGCCTTACGTGCTCAATGAATATCAAAAGTAAAAAGGGTCTTATCCTGTCACTGGTATTAAACCAGCTATAGGAGGATGTGTCACCACCCAGGGGAGGATGACTTGAACAGAGGACATAGGAAGGGCAGTATCGAGGCTGCGCTGCATTCAGTACAAACATGGCTGATTGAACACTTCAATGCCTTTTTCCCACCCCATCCTCATTACCCTGCACACCACTGGTAATCAGTAATCTATCAATCTTAATCTTAAAATCCTCAAAGTGAGGGATTCCACGGTGCTCTGTGGTAGAGAATTCCAAAGGTTCGCAACATTCTGAAATTGCACCTCCTAGTCCTAAATACCACAACTAGGGGAGACATCTTAGCTGCATTTCCCCTATCAATCAGGGGACGCAATGGCCTAGTGGGTATTATCACTGGACTGTTAATACAGAGACCTAGATAACGTTCTAGGGACCTGGGTTCAAATCCCGCCATAGCAGATGGTGGAATTTGACTTTAATAAAAATATCTGGAATTAAGAATCTAATGATGACCATGAATCCATTATCAATTATTGGGAAAAACCCATCTGGTTCACTAATGCCCTTTAGGGAAGGAAACTGCCATCCTTACCTGGTCTGGCCTACATGTGACTCTGGATCCACAGCAATGTGGTTGACTCTTAACTGCCCTCTGGGCAATTAGGGATGGGCAATATGTGCTGCCTAACTAGTGACAGCCTCATCCCATTAACGAATAAAAAAAAAACCCTTTACATATTTTGTAAGTTTAAATGAAATCACCTCTCTTTCTTCGGAACTTTTTTTTAATGACAATGTATATACAATCACAATTCAGCTAATTTAATTACAGATTTTTAAAATGCACATTTTAAAACGTGCAGGGTGGGACTCATGCCCATGTCAAACATTAGCCTGGGGCTCTAGATTGCTAAGACAGCCCATGCTTTATAAAGCCCGCTGTTAATATATAATACATATGGATACAATGAATTATAGCAATGGCTTTATTAAGCACATTGTTTATGGGATAATAGATAATACATATTACAATCACAATCAGTGTACATCTAATTCTTGTTCTCTCACTGATCAGCACAATAACGATACAACCTGTGTCCCTTAGCTTAGTCCTCCACTTATCCCTGTGCAAAATCACTTGTTTACTTCTCCTTCCTGACTTCCTAACAAAGATCTGTTGATTGTTAAACAATCAGGCTTACTTAAGTTGTGCAAACTGTTACTATAAATAAATCAGCAAACATTCTAATATCACTGACCACTGCCACCGCGAAGGAGGGGAAGCTCACAACCACGATTACTTGTCCTGTGGCACTACCGTGGGTCATGACCAAATTCTCTTCACTCCTCAAGGCCATGTTTATACATTGATCAATACAAGTTTGAGTATCAACTCAGACCAGCAATCAGCATTGCCTTTCCTTCAATACTATTAATATCTCTTCTTACATTATACAAAACCATAATACTGTAGGTGGTACATAGTCACAGTGGCGTCCTTTTACAAAATCGTATCTCTGACAGTGTGGTATTCGCTCACGCCTGCCCATATCCTTGTGTAGGCCTAGATCTTTGCATTGAATCCACAACCTTAATTCAGTGTGACTGCTACCCACTGAGTCAGTGTAAAAGTAAATATTGCAAACCTTTCATTAACTGGCACCTAAAGGACCAGGAGTGTGTCAATTGATCAAATATTCCAGTTGGTTAAGACGTTCACGTAATCAATGCAAAAACACAAACTAAATAATAGATGTGTAATGTAGGGGGTATACACATAAACGTTATACTTCATTTACAGCATAAATCACTTGAGTATTAACACAACTTTACCTTCAATAAAACTTACCGGCAGAGAGCCTTCTGACTGGCAACCTCAACTGATTGCTCGGACATCACTATAATTAGCTAACCTCCAGTATTTGAGGTATATAATTTTTGCCGGTTTATTGAGAACGGTTCATAAGGTGCCAATTAAAACTAAATTTGCTGCATATGTTTAGTTGTGTGTCCAAGAGACAGTTAGTTCATTTGGCTAGACAGCTACCAAATAGTTCTGAATGACACCAATGGCACAGGTTCTGTTGTTGTTCTGACTGAGGTTGGCGCGAGAGTCCGATCTCAGGCCAAAATCAGCCATGGTCTCATTAAATGGGAAAGCAGACTAGAGGGGTTGAGTGGCCCTATGACATGGAAGCAGAGAGTGGGCACTGGTAAACCTCCAGCGACAAAGACCATCAAGGAAACAGCCCAGGGCAGAGCATCAATGGACAATGAGCCAAGGATCAGATCGACCATTCACAGACATGAATTATTTCTGCATAGAAAATAACCGTGTGTTGCAGGAAGATTTGTGGAGGTTCTGTAACTTGCGAAAGGGGAGCACCAATGAAACACAAAGGTTGAGAATTTCCGGTCTATTGTGCACAACTTATTGACAATTCTTGGAAGGAAGATCAAACATAAGCAAGAACCATCATAATCCATCATAAGACAGTTCCTAAACATACCAGATAGTTAGATAACAATCAACAAGGTCAAGTTAGGGATAAAGTTAATAAACATGTAAATTTCATTCAGCACAATCCGTGTCTATGCTTTTGGTTAAAAAGAGTTACATTCAGAAATGCTGTCAAGTCGAAAATAAACTGAAAGGTGATTTGTTGTAATGTTACCTTTGGCAGCTCTGAAGATCTGCAAGGCCTCTTCATTTACCTTCATCCGTCCCATCGTTTCTGCATCCAGACCCTCCCAATTAACCAGGTTCAAATTAGCACCAAAGTCAATCAAAAGTTTTACAAACTGTGCATCGCAGCCGTGACGTAGAACCGCATCTAGAACACAGACTGGTGATCCCCGGGGAAAGGCTGTCACATCTACCTGGCCCCAGTAGTTATAATCGGGGTTCGCCCCAGCTTTCAGCAACAACTTGAAACACTGGAGGTGCTGATAGGCAGAACTGATGTAGAGGGGACACACACCCAGTGATGTGAATCTCCTGGCAGCAGGCACTGAGACACGACTGGATACATGATGATTAACATCGACGTCCGCACCGTGTCTGAAACAGGAATGTAAACTGGGTCAACAACAGTGTCAAGCAATTCCATAAAAGGAACTATTCACTCGTTCTGGAGTTAAATCTCAATGTCATGAACGTCCTCCGGGTAAATGCGTGAGTATAAGGTGGGAAAATGGTGAACTTGTCCATTTTTGCAGGAAGAATAGAAGAGCAGCATACTATTTCAATGGAGAGTGATTGCTGAACTCTGAGGTACAGAGGGACGAGTGCCCTGGAACATGAATCACAAAATGTTACGGTGGAGGCACAGCAAGTGATCAGGAAGACAAGGGAAATGGAATATAAATGTAAGAGTGTTTGATTACAGCTGCATAACACGCTGCTAAGGATACATCCATATTGTTGTGTATAGTTTTGGTCTCCTTACCTCAGGAAGGATGTAAATGCATTATAAGCAGCTCAGAGAAGATTCACTCGACTGATATCTGGGAATAGGTACCTTATTTTATGAGAAAAGGCTGGAATCTGGGACTGCAACCACTGAATTTTCGAAGAATGAGAGGTAATCTTATTGAGATGTATAAGGATCCAAGGAGGCTGGACAGAATGCAAGCTAAAAGGATGTTTTGCCTTGTGAGGAGACTATAACTAGGGGATTGAGATTAACAGTAGGGGGTTTACTATTTAAGATGGAAATGAGGAAGATTTTGATCTCTCAGAGGGCCACTGGCAGGGGGAAGGGTGGTGTGAAGATGGATTTCAGGCCAAAATCAGCCATGGTCTCATTAAATGGGAAAGCAGACTAGAGGGGTTGAGTGGCCCTATGACATGGAAGCAGGCCATTTGGCCCATTGATTCCACACTGACCCTCTGAAGAGCATTCCACCAGTCCCACCCTCTACCCTTTCCCTGCATTTCCCACCCTAGACACTATAAACAATTTAGAACAGCCAATCTACCTAAACTGTGCACCTGGAGAATGTGCAAATGCCACACAGACAGACAGTTGCCTGAGGCTGGACTTGAACCCAAGTCCTTAGCACTGTCAGGCAGCAGTGCTAACCACTGAGCCACCGTGCCTCCCCACTTTTCCCTAAATTTAACATAGTTAACATATTAACATGTTCCGAATTTGTATGTTGGTATTTGTACGTGAGAGACCAGATAAGATGGAACTGCAGTCTGTACAGCACAGAACGCTAAACGGATGATTTAACAGATGTGCAACATCATGATACAGCAAAAAGGAAAAATTATTTTCACTGACAGGAAGGTCTGTAAACAAAGAACAGATTTAAAATCATGAAGGTAATTGGCAAAAAAACAAAATCGATTTCTTTTTTCTCATTTTTGTTTAGATCTGAAATTTTTCTTCCCATAAAGGTGATAGAAGTAGATTAAATAGAAAGAAAATTGGGTAAATACTCAAAGAAGAAAAAAATCATATGATAAGGGCACCGAGTGTGTAACTAAATTTATAGTTCTTTTTAAGAGCCAGAACAGGCATAACGGGCAGGAAGGCCTGTTCCATTCTATGGTTTTCTGTGGTATAGTGTTAAACCACACAGACAAATAAAATTCATGCCCTTCTGAAAGAGTGGTTTGAACCATCAGTGTTTTAGCCAGAAATGAGTGAAGATGAGAAAAAGTCATTGTTCGAGATTTGCCATTTACAGTCACATCTGAATTAATTTTGCTGGAAGTGTGTGATGCATGCACATCTCATGGGTTGTGTTCTCTCAATGCTCACCATCAGGCTGAGGGATTCAGCACATCAGGAACTGAGGTATCTGAGGTCTACAATAGTGTGGACTCTGTAACATGCAGCAGAAAGTGGGGTGAGAAGACGAGGGGAGAAAAAGTACAACACTCCGTAAAAATAATCACAACTTTCAGTACTAAAAATCCAAATTAGCTCTTGAGGAAAACCCACGAAGCATTCAATGCTGAAGGTGCTATGTAGATGTAAACTATTGTTAACTATCCCAATGAGATGCATAGAAAATGGAAAATGCAACCACTCATGAACGTTCTAGTCTTTAGGACGGTTGATTGAAACCGAGGTCTGACAAGGGTTCAGACGGCAAGGGAATCAATTTTTAACAATAATTCATTCACAGCATGGGAAACATTGTGCCTATTTTATTGCCAGTTCTGAATTTCCCTCAAGATGGTGGCGAGCCAGCTTCTTGATCGCACAGCAACTCACTCAGGTTAAGAATCAATCATATTTCTGTTGGGCTGGAGTCATATTTAAGCCAGACCAGGAGAGAATGACCAATTTCCTCAACGACACCGATGACCACATGGGTTTTTGTTACCATCCGGTAGTTTCCACAGTCACCGCCTTTACATCCCATTTAAACTAAATTTAAATTTCCCAACTGCTGTGATGGCATTTGAACACATGCCTCAGAATTTTCGATCCAGGCCTCTGGCTTACTGGCCTGACCCACCACCCTCCGGCACCCATCCACCTGCCCCCACCATCCCCCCGCCCCACACCATCTATCTGCACCCCACCATCCCCCCTCCTCCCCACCATCCCCCCTCCTCCCCACCATCCCCTCACCCCGCACCATCCCCCTGCCCCGCACCATCCCCTTGCCCCGCACCATTCCCCTCCTCTACCACTTGCCCCCTCCCCCCACTCCTCCC